CACACACACACACACACACACACACACACACACACACACACACACACACACACACACACACACACACACACACACACACACGCATAAAAAACACGCACGCAGTCTCTCTCTCTCTCTCTCTCTCTCTCTCTCACACACACACACACACACACACACGCACAAACACACACACATACATTCACTCACGCCCACACCACACGCAAAGAATTCCGCCCGACTACCACGGAGGTGATGAACTGCGGGCGGCATCTGAGCAACGCGACGGCGGTGCGGTAGATGTCCACATTCTGGTGGTTCACAGCTCTTTCCAGCACTAACGTCACGGCCGCCACCAGCCCGCACCCCGTGACGCCGTCGCTGGAAGGAAAAGGTGGTCAGGTTGTCAGCCATCTTGGGATGAGTGGCAGGAGAAGGTTGTCAATATTTACTCTTTACTGGAGAGCCATTTTTTTGTGGAAGTGAGTCGGAGAAAGTTGTCAGATTACTCGTAGCTGTAATTCTAGGCACGGAAATGTGTGTGTGTGTGTGTGTGTGTGTGTGTGTGTGTGTGTGTGTGTGTGTGTGTGTGTGTGTGTGTGTGTGTGTGTGTGTGTGTGTGTGTGTTCGTGCGTTTGCGTGCGTGAGCGTGTCCGTGCGCATCTGTATATGCAACTATGTATATGTACAACTGCATATGCCTATCCATATGCATGCGTGTTCCTCCCCCCCCCTCCCAGAACACCCTCTCCCCCTCACCGCAGCACACAGGAGCGGAGGCCCCGAGTACGGACTGCGGTGCACCTGGAGGAGGAGGTCGGCGAGGGTGAGGGCGACGTCGGGGGAGGGAGGGAGGTCCTGCCCGCACTCCCGTCACTTGGTAACGACGGTGTTGTAAGTCTCGTTCTGGAGGGAGAAAGAGGTCGTGTGAGGTCTTCTCGGGTCGTTAGTATGGGTCGTTCAGCGCGAATTATTGGAACGAAGAGAATGGACATTAATAACTTACTAACCCATAATGAAAATTGATGCAAAGACTGATAAGACACTATCGCTGTGTTTGATATACGTGGAGATATAAATCTGAGACCGTCTATGACAAAAAAATAAATATGCAATGAAAAACACAATACGTGTTGATAATAAGGAAGAAAAACCCACAATGCACAAACTAATAATAATAATAACAATAATAACAGTAATCATAATAATAATAATAATAATAATAATAATAATGATAATAATAATGATAATATAATAATAATAATAATAATAATAATATAATAATAATACTAATCATAATAATAATAATAATAATAACAGTAATCATAATAATAATAATAAATAATAATGATAATAATAATATAATAATAATCATGAATAATAAATAATAATAATAATAATAATAAATGATAATAAATAATAATAATAATCATCATCATCATCATAATCATAATAGCACACGTGAAGGGACTAATGCAGGCATTCTGAGCCAGCACAAGGACGCACCTCCGGGTTGGCGATGGTCACACGGGCCTGGAGGAGGAACTGGGAATAGGGCTGGACAGAGTGGGTACGAACTCGGTGCTGCCCGAAGGTCCTCTCCTCCTCTTGGTCTGGCAACACTGCTGGGAATTCCTCCTGGCGAAGGTCGTGAAGGTATGGTCGCACAATAAAAGATAATTTCGATATTGTATTGGTATATATATTCCTCGCAAGACTTTTGTGATCGAATTTTGTAGATTTTTTTGTGTGATTAAAAAGGGTACGTCATTATCAGAAAAAAGGCCGAGTATTTCTTTCATTCTCTCTACACTGTCATTGATGGTCTTGACGATAACCACAATGAAAATTATTCCAAGCAGAAATGCATGATAACAAAAAGAAAGAAAAGGAGGCGGTAACAGCAACTGACAACAGTAACAACAGCATACCTCGTCCGAAAACTCGTTGAGGAACACCACCACGGGACAGCACTTCTCGGCCACCAGGCGCCAGAACCTCTCCGAAGTCGATGCCAGCGGGTGTTCAGTGACCATGAAGGCCTCCTTGTTGGTCAGCCCCGTCACTCGGATGGCGTTGATGTACTGGGCCTCGTGGACCCTGGGCAGCGAGGCAGACCCTCCAGGTGTCCGACGGATACGCTGCGTGGTTCCTGGTGAGGGCGAAGACATTCTGTTGCTCGGCTATCTTGTAGGTGAGCGCCGAAGGAAGGGCCTTGAGCTTCCTGTACTGGTTAGGACACTCGAGGAGGAGGCGCGGCAGCTCCTCGAGGAGGCTGGCCAACAGGATGGTCGTACTGGCGCCGAACAAAATTTCGTCGAGGATCTGCAGCGCGAGACTGTACTGCGCGAACGATTCGACGAGCCGCGCCCTGCTGTCCCTGAGGCGGGCCAGGGCCTCGACGGGGTCTATGGAGTCCTTCAGGTCCAGGCTGTCGAGCAGGAGCAGCACCAGCAGCACCGTCCCCGTCCGCCCGATGCCGGCCGAACAGTGCACGACCGCCACGCCTGAGGAACCACCATGAATTCACGTAACTCCCGAGAATGCCTCATCCGCGGGTAAAGTAAACTAATCAATAAATAAAAGATACTTTTAAGAAAAATCACACAACATACTTTCCAGATCCCTTTGACTCCAGAACCCGCTTTTCACAGAACCACACGAAAGCGTTACTTACATTCGTCAGAACGAAACACAATAAAGCCTCATAACAGAATATCGGCGTAATGGAGGAAGACTCACCGTGCGGCTGACTGGCTCTAAAGTGTCTCATCATTGAAGCCAGAGAGAGCGCCTCCCCTGGAACGCCGTGGTCAGGCCAGCTTATGAACTGATAGTGCCAGAGTTCTCGCTGCTGGCCATTGTGGGTCACCTGCAAGACACGACACATCTAGCCAACACATCGCTGTCTCTCTCTCTCTCTCTCTCTCTCTCTCTCTCTCTCTCTCTCTCTCTCTCTCTCTCTCTCTCTCTCTCTCTCTCTCTCTCTCTTCTCTCTCTCTCTCTCTCTCTCTCTCTCTCTCTCTCTCTCTCTGTCTCTGTCTCTGTCTCTGTCTCTGTCTCTGTCTCTGTCTCTGTCTCTGTCTCTGTCTCTCCTCTGTCTGTCTCTCTGTCTCTGTCTCTGTCTCTCTGTCTCTGTCTCTGTCTCTGTCTCTGTCTCTGTCTCTCTGTCTCTGTCTCTGTCTCTGTCTCTCTCTGTCTCTCTCTGTCTCTCTCTGTCTCTGTCTCTGTCTCTGTCTCTGTCTCTCTGTCTCTGTCTCTGTCTCTGTCTCTCTCTCATATCAGTCGTTACTTCTAACTCTATAATATACATCGTGAATCTTGAAATATGGAGGCAATATCGCAAAGACCAGCTTACCAGGCAAACTCTTGACAGTATGAAATGAGGCAAGCTTTCTCTGCTGACGACAGTGACTGTCATCTCTTCCGTCTCCAGGTTCGACCCGTAGCGAAGGTACTCTGCTACTTTTGGCTGCAATGGATTGAATAAAGAAATATACACACGATTTGCACGCATACGCAAATACACATATGTTATGTATAGGCGTGTGTGTGTGTGTGTTTGTTTACTTGTTTCTACTTGTGTATGTATGTGAGTTTGTGTACGTGTGTGTATGAGAGTTTGTGTGCTCGTATGTGTATGAGAGTTTGTATGTGCGTGTGTGTGTATGAGAGTTTCTGTGCGCGTGCGTATGTGATGCATGTACATATTTATTTATGGCTGTATATCGTCAATGATTGGAGAGTATATATATATATTTTTTTTTTACTCTGATGCATATCGTAAGTACAACAAAGGCTCTATACATGTCATCTTTGTTTACAGTTTTTGTTAAGGGAAAGGCTGTCATATATTCACGGTTCTTGTTCACGGGTCAGCTGCCCAGACCTAGCTTGCTGTATTTTGGTTATATTCATTTGTCTGTACATTGTTTCGTAAATATGAGGCTACGTACAGCCAATCTCTCTCTCTCTCCCTCCGCTTCTACTCTTTCTTTCCCTTTCTCTCTCTCCCTCCGCTTCTACTCTTTTTTTCCCTTTCTCTCCCTCCCTCTCACACTCTCCTTCTCTCATTCTCCCTCTATCTTTCACTTTCTCTTTCTTTCTCACTCTCACTTTCTCTGTTCCCCCCTCCCTCCCTCTCTCTCTCTATCTCTCTCTGTCTCTCTCTCTCTCTCTCTCTCTCTCTCTCTCTCTCTCTCTCTCTCTCTTCTCTCTCTCTCCTCTCGCTCTCTCGCTCTCTCCCTCTCCCTCTCTCTCTTTACACATTCATTTATTCCATCTCACCTTCCCGTTTTCTATGAAGTTAGCAACCATAATTATAGTAGACACATTTTGCTCCCAAACCATTCTCCAAAAGTCCCCTATGGTGTTGTTTTTCTCTGCTTTGGGCCCCTGGGTAGCGATGTAATGCATTTTCTGTCCATAACCCTGCGAGCACAGAAAAAGTGAACAGAAAACGGACATTTGCGGTCGGCATAAAATCGAAAGAAAATGGGCTATATTATGTTATATTTTTTTCTCTTGTTTGTTTCTCTTTTCTAGGGATAAGGCCTTTGGAAACATTATGTGCCGAATGAATTAGAGAAATAAGAAAAACAGATTGATATTGTTACATAAACTGAATTTACGATCTATGGTAAAAACAACAAATCTTATAAAAAAAAGTGAAAGTACTGTAATACATATCCTACGATTCTATGTGAATTCATAAGGGTCTAATACTAAAACAGGCTATTTTTTCGTTTATTTTGTTTAATGTATTCCTAATACTAGATTTTTCCATATAAAGGGGTAACCAGTCGCTTACCCTAATATGATTGGCATTGATGTAATCTGAATGCGGGTCGTCATCCTTCACCGCCAATATCACCCTTGTGTCGTCATCTGTAAGATCGAGTTCTTTTTTTTTAAGAACAAACAAGAATTTTTTGAAGAATATACAAAGCTCTCCACAAAAATAATTTACATAAATTACAAACATCTTTAAAAAATAACTTACAAGGCAAATTGTTTCGATAACGGTTTTTCTTCTTGTTTGCAGGTAGGTTGCCAACGTCCATTTTCCTGCCGGTGTTTTCGGGTATGGTCTTGTGGGAAAGAAAACGGGATTTTTTTTTTTTTTTTGAATAGTGATGAGGATAACAATAATGATTATGATAATAAAGGTAGTGATGATGAGGAGAAAAATAATAATGACGGCAACAGTAAAAGTAATACTGATAATTATATTGATAATCATAATGATACGGACAATGACGAAAGCGATGATTCTTAATAATAATGATGATACTGATCATAACAATCAAATGTCAATATCAGCAACAAAAAACACAATTATACCAGAACACAAAAAAATGAACAATACAAACCTTGAATTCATCCGAAGCTTCACTCGAACCAATGACTCGATTCAGATAGGATTCGACCGCTAGGCGAGGCACACGCCGATAGTCATTATCGTAAATCTCTTGCAAATCTATGTTTTCGTATACAGGATCCTGCAGAGAGAGAGAGAGAGAAAGAGAAGCAGAAGATGATGGATTGAAACCAAACTAATACACAGAGAGAAAGAGAGAGAGAGATGATAGAATAAAAAAAAATAATAAAAAGTTAGATAGGTAGACACACACACACACACACACACACACAGAGAGAGAGAGAGAGAGAGAGAGAGAGAGAGAGAGAGAGAGAGAGAGAGAGAGAGAGAGAGGGGGGGGCGGGAGGGAGGGAGGGAGGAGGGAGAGAGAGACAGAGAGCGGAAACGAAAACAAGACGGAAACAGACAGACAATCGGACAGAGAATAACAAAATAACATATGGACACCAACCTCTCGAGCTAAGGAAGCTGTATCTGGAAGTGAAGACACATCATGGAAAGATATGTTTTTACCTTTCAGAACCAGACTGCTTTCCTGTTGATCTGAAGAGAAAATTAACTCAGTTTCCCCCATTAAGTACTCAGTACATTTGAATATAATCAATTTAATGCATGAATTTTCTCTTAGGGAAATCAAGTGGATAATACAAGAGTACATAAGGAAGTAAAAGTAGGAAGCACGTAATAAAGTTAAAAAAAATGAATCGAGGAAAATACATGATGTAGAACCATAAATATAACAATGCAGTAATAAAAGAAGAAAAATAAACAAAAAGGTTAAAAAACACGAAGTAAAACAAAAAAAAAGGAAACGAAAATCTTTCACAATCAAATTGAATTTACAAAAAAAAAGAACTAACAATATAAAGTAAATAAAAAATATGAAAATGTAGGAAAAATACATCATAAAGTAAAAATCGAAAAAGAAAAAGAAAAAAAACTCACCTTTTATGAAAATAGATTTAAAATTCTGAATAAGGGCGGGGTGCCGGTATCTGAAAGATTGTAAATATCTATAATAATGATAAACATTAATATAATGAGAAATGGTAATAATGATATTGATAATATAATAATAATGATCTTGATAATATTAGAATAATGATATTGATAATATAATAACAATGATATTGATAATATTAGAATAATGATATTGATAATATGATAATAACAGCAACAGCAATAACAATAATCATTACTATCATTATCCTTATCATTATTATAAATAAATGTATGTATTAAATAAACCAAAACTATCACATTCCATAAAATCCCACAACAATATCGGAAAAAGTAAAACAAAAAAATAAATACAAGAAATAAACAAACGAGCAACAACAAATCTGAACACAAAGTGGCCATCATTCGGCAGAGGCGCTCACATGACGAAGGCCAGGACGGCGACCAGCAGCAGCAGGACGACGAGGACGGAGACGAGAGCCGGCAGGAGGGAACTCGGCTTCCAGTCCCGCGCCCGCACCACGCCCGGGATCTCCTGCCAGGCGTACTGTGTCTCGCCTTGTTCAAATGGGACAGAGAGGGCTTGTTTTATTAGCGAATAGGTTCAGGTCAATGGATGCCTTGTCTTGTTTAAGTTAGGGAAGACGGGTTTGTTTTTATTAGTTAATAGGTTTAAGTCAGTGCCTGACTTAAGGTAGATAGGGTTTGTTTTTATTAGCTAATAGGCTTATGTCAATGGATGCTTTGCTTTATCCAAGTTAAGGTAGAGAGGGATTGTTTTATTAGCTAATAGGTTTAAGACAATGGATGCCTTGTTTAAGTTGAGGGAGATGGGTTTGTTTTATGAGATTGACTTAATAGAAGATTTAGTTTGGTTCACTTTTCAGCTTGTGTTTTATATATCTTTGCAGTGGTAAGGAAATCCAAGAATCAGGTTGTCCTATAGATCTGAGTGGAGAGATTTACTTTCGAGAATAGCTAAATAGGCCTACTCGCTCTTGTTATAAGACTTTTAGCACGGGTTCACTTCGTCATCGATTCTAAAGTTAAACACTTTGTTACCACCACTAAGTACTGGATCAAGTATCTTTTAATAGAATCCAAACTTGCAGCCTCATTTTACTATAACGAATTAATGCATATTAGAATACTGAATACTGACGTTATTAAGCCTATTTCAACCTGTAACCAATTCGTTTCGAGGAGTAAAAACAGTAAATATATGAGCATGTCTAAAATCAGTTCTCAAGGCCACATACCCAGGAGGCTGTTTTGTGCAAGGACGCCAATTTCATAAGATTTTTGGGATTCCAAAGGGCAGTTTAGGAACCCGTTGTACCGCTGGCCGTCCCCGATAACGAAAACAGAGTCATCCTGAAACAAGGGATTCAAAAACTAACAGAAGGGTCCTGTAAGGAGGGAAGGCTATCATATCTGTAGAAGAGTCAAACTATAACATAGAGATCGCTGTCATAACTGTAACAGAATTGATCTTCCTGTAACAAAGGATGTCAGTATTAACTATAATAGAATTGACTATCCTGTTCAAAAAAAAAAAAAAAAAAAAAAAGCCTCAACTGTAACTGTAACTCATAATACCGGTTGATAAAACCACTTCGTTACAAGAGAGTGGCTATGCTGTATCTGTGGTAAAGATGGTATTATACACAAGAATTATATAAAATCAATCAGGCCACGTACACATTATAATTAGTGTCATTGTCATTACTAATATCATCTTCATTATCGTGAATCACAACTGTATTGTACATGCTATCGTCAAAATTACCATCACTACTACTTTTATTGTTCTAATTACTGTAGGATAAGACGAAGATGGTGATAACAATAACGATAATAATAATAATAATTATTATTATTCACATTATCATCATTATTACCATTGGGATTACTAACACCCTTATCTTGATCATTGTCATTATCATCATTATTACCAGAGCAGTAATGATTATCATGATAATTATGACAATAAAAATATTTTTAATGACAATAATTGTTATGCAAATGAGATTAATAGTGATACTAGTGAAATTATCATTGATTATGGTAATGATAAAAGAAATGACATTGATATGGTAACAATAATCAAAGTACTCGTTCCAAAGTAGCTCCAAAATTCAATTGGCTTTTTCCCTAAAGCCTTCTGACGACTGTTAATGGTAAGGAACTCCAGTATCATAAATAAAATTTTGGTGTTACATCTGGGTATTGTAGTAATATCGATTAAAGTATACAAATGATTATGCTTATAGCTATATCTGGTATCTCAAAGTGCACTCTCATTGGCTCAACTTGATGTCATTAGCTCCACCCCATTTTTGAGCTGGTTAAAGTATTTATTTAGTGTATTTTCTTTGAAATAATGGTAAAAAATATAATTTAGTTGAATTATTTTTGTTACAGTAGATATTCTTTGCTGTGACATGATGTCTGTTTGGTTGCTATTAAATTACCACTTGTGTGCGAGGAATGGCCTGGGTTACTATCCACAACAAACCTGTTTTTTATCACTGCTGCCGTCACAACTATCATCAAAATCGTCAAAATAGTAATTCCCAACAACCCAAAACATCACCTTCGACATTCATAAATTCTCAAAACAAGTACAGTATTGAACCGTATTCATGTTGACAAATGCAGAAAAGGTATGAATAAGAATGTATTGTTTACTTCCGTCAGCACAGCGGCTATGCGTAGAGGTTCTCGACACTCATCCCACGTGTCAGAGTAATACATGACGTCACTACGCCTCCTCCTACTATTGCTGGCTTCCTTTGGGTTGACAGTATGCCTGCGCAGTGCCTTCTCCAGCAGAGAGACAGCGGATGCCTGCAGGTCTTCTCCCTCTTCGCCTCCGCCATCTTCCGCGCGGTTGACCACCACAGCCAACGAGCTAGAGAGAGGAAGTTAATTATTAATAAGACAAATGTACTTGACACCAAAGGTTATGTAGCACTATAGGAAGGTGTGGTATCGAAAAGGGTAAAAAGGAGGGGTTGGGTTGATGATTAAATGTGCTATACGTCGAAATGTCATAAAGCAGTTTAAGATGGTACGGTTATGAAAAGAGGCAACGAGGCGGGAGGGTAGAGCGTGAATAAATGGGTTAAGATTTTGTCATAAACTTTTTTTTGCTTTGCCAGATGAGTTTTAGCCCCGATGACTTAGATTCTAATGGCTTCTAGCTTTGGGCGTTATCAAGAAACAAAGGTCTAGGACTATGAGACGAGTAATGGTCTTCCTGTGGACACTGCACAAGCCAGCTGAAACGAAAACCACCCCACAATGTAAACTTAAAATGACCTGGCGCGTTAATTCCATGTAGAAGTTGAACAATGTATTATTGAGGCCTCCGCTGCTAGTCATGATGACCCTTGATACGCAAAGCAAGCTCCGCTAATCGCAATTTACAACTATAAAACCGAGCACCGTCTTTGCGATTTGCCTCAGAATTTGTCAGTGGTTCCAGCATCCTCCCCCTGTCCCCTCTCTCACCTATTTCCATCTCCATAGCGCGTCAGGGTAGGGAGGGCAATGGTGATGGTCGTATTGCTCGACTCCAGGACAGTGGGGGCAGCGGACAAGGCGGGCGGCAAAGGCGAGGTGGCCACGAGACTCATGGCCGACTCGCTGCAGTACTTGGAGTTGCAACACCGGGTCTCC